ACACACTCGACCGAGGGTGCAGAAATCAGCTCAAAACCACCTCTGCCGTCCAACACCACAGAAGAAGAACAAAAAGAGGAAGACAAGCAGGAGGAGGCGTGCTCTCCCAGCCCAAAAGCCAATGAGCAGCCAGCAAAGAGGAGAGCGTGTCGCAAGAGGAGGAAGAGTCTGTTCACCATCCAGGCGGTCAATTCTAACGGGACGACTGAGAGAGGGACGGGAGAGGGAGGGAGCGCCGTGTCCTTCAGCTGTGAGTCTGAACACACACACACACACACACACACACACTTTGGTAAATATCTAATAAGATGCCTCTTGAAGAGGCAGTATGAGTTAATACTGATGGACTCTTTACACAGCGGCCTCTACCATCAGGGTGTGAATGTATTCAGTACCGTCATGTCTTCTCTGCAGCTCAGCCGTACGTCGCCATCGACTGGGACCCTGAGATGAAGAAGAGATTCTACAATGAAAACGAAGCAGAGGTAAGTGTGAGCCTCTTTAAGCAGACTGTACGTAAAGAAGTCCAAACATATTAAAATATGTTTGAAATATTTTGAATTCATGTCGTGTGTGTGTGTGTGTGTGTGTGTGTGTGTGTGTGTGTGTGTGTGTGTGTGTGTGTGTGTGTGTGTGTGTGTGTGTGTGTGTGTGTGTGTGTGTGTGTGTGTGTGTGTGTGTGTGTGTGTGTGTGTGTGTGTGTGTGTGTGTAGAAATACGTGAAACACAGCAGCATGGAGGTTCCTCAGCAGCAGACCACGGTGCAGCTGCAGGAGTGCATCGAACTGTTCACTACTGTGGAGACACTGGAGGAGGAGAACCCATGGTAACACACACACACACACACACACACACACACAGAGTGTCCCATATCAAACAGTTGAGACGTGTGTGTGTGTGCAGGTACTGTCCCGTGTGTAAGAAGCACCAGCTGGCCACTAAGAAGTTGGACCTCTGGTCTCTCCCTGAGGTTCTCATCATCCACCTGAAGAGGTTCTCTTACACCAAGTTCACCCGAGAGAAGCTCGACAGCATCGTGGACTTCCCCCTCAGGTACGCACACGTTGCCATGGTAACAAACAGGTTTACACCATTTCTATTTTTACTAGTATCATTTTGAAGTTATATACTCGGCTATCGTGACGACAACGGCCTCTAACGATCGACTCCACGGCTCAGACCCGCAGAACACCGCTGCACTCTTCATCTCTCAGCTGAGTGGCTTTTAATTTATCACGTCCACTCTTCTGATGTGTGTGCGCCCTCTGCTGGTCACAGCGCCCTCCGCTGGTCACAGCAGGGGAGCAGATGAAATTGTCTGTTTTGATTTGAGTTGTGATGAATATTTGATCCTTAGAGGATGTAACGCGGACTAGACTCACCTTAAACTCTGCTGTGACGATGTTTCAGAGATCTCGACTTCTCCGGCTGCCTCCTGAGGAAAAATCTGTCCAATGGAGAGCCTCCCAGCCGCTATGACCTCATCGCTGTGTCCAATCACTACGGAGGACTCAGAGACGGACATTGTAGGTCCCTCTGAGTTTTTATATTAAGAATCATGAAATTCATCTTGATGAAGTTTTTACTGTCATGACCTCACTACCGTGTGTGTGTGTGTGTGTGTGTGTGTGTGTGTGTGTGTGTGTGTGTGTGTGTGTGTGTGTGTGTGTGTGTGTGTGTGTGTGTGTGTGTGTGTGTGTGTGTGTGTGTGTGTGTGTGTGTGTGTGTGTGTGTGTGTGTGTGTGTGTGTGTGTGTGTGTGTGTGTGTGTGTGTGTGTGTGTGTGTGTGTGTGTGTGTGTGTGTGTGTGTGTGTGTGTGTGTGTGTGTGTGTGTGTGTGTGTGTGTGTGTGTGTGTGTAGACACCAGCTATGCGTGCAACAAAGATAACGGCCAATGGTATTATTTTGATGACAGCAAAGTGACCTACGCCAGAGAAGACCAGATCGTGGTCAGTACCAGACACACAGATAAAATAAAGCGCCCCCTGCTGGTGGTAAATAAACGTAACCTTTGTTTGTTTGTAAACAGACCAACGCTGCCTACGTCCTGTTCTACCATCGACAAGACAAGATCAGAAAACCCACTCTGCCCGCCCCCAACACAAGCCCCACCTCCACCACCCAGCCCGCCAACGACATCACCTCCTGCAAAGACGAGGAGGCCGAGCCGAGTGCCGCCTCTTACGTCACCATGGAAACGGACTGATGAAGCCCGTCTCTCGTGGTCATGACCTCAGAGCGCACTTGAACTGTTTCAGACTCAACATGTTTATTTTTGTTTGTTTTTATTGGGGTGTGAAATCGTGACACTCAGGTAGTTTGACGCACGACGAGCTCCATGTTCATATTAAAGTCGACTTTAAAAAAACATTTTAAATTTCTAAAGACGTTTTAAAAACAGGAAGTGTCCGACCGTTTTAAATCTGAAAAAAGAAATAGACATATTTTAGTTGAAAACATCATCCAGTGTTTGATGTTGGCGTCTAAGATCAAAGCTGATTACATCATTCATTAAAGGACCAATCAAACGTTCAATTCAAGAAGTCACTGGGCCCGCTCTCGTCTGTTACCATGGAAATGACCATCAGACGACATCGACCGTTTCAACCCAATGACGTCAGAGAAAATATTAATGACTCATCTTAATAAATAATCAGCTTTTATTTCATAATCTACTTCCTGTCTCCACAGGCGCCGTTTTCTTGTTTTCAAAGCAACTAACGCTCGTCAATGTCACTTCTCCCTCACTGACCACTGAATCTAGAAGGGGCGGGGCTTCTGATATCAGCTTTGTCAACAACAATGGCGGAGGACATGCTGGTCTGCCTCGTCTTCATGTTTTCTTAAAATGAAAGTAAATATTAAACACACCTGACGTTACAGAGGGAAACAGAAGTTCACTTTAGTAACCATAGCAACGAGGAGTGCTGGTGCAAAGCACTCGAGCGGAGGTGGTGGGTGCTCTTATAGAAATTATATACGGCAGAGCGTGAGGGACACATTCAACAACAGCATTCACACGTTTCCTCTTCAATGATGCTAAACACAGAGCTGCTGTGATGAGGACCAATCAGAGCTGCTGTTGCTGCCCCACATATTGAAGATAAACCGGGTTAAGGTGTTTTATGTTGAGGATGCCACATTTTCATTGACGATAAATCAGCTGACCTCATTTAACTGATGTTTGTAAATAAAAGCTCTTCAGCTGAATCTCCTTAACTTGGACCAATCACGGCGTGCTAGGGATTATGGGTCATTAAACTGAGCGTGTATTTATTTCTCGTTAATCTTTCCGCTGGAGCGTTGACTTTTTTGGGTGATTTGGGACTCTGAGAATCTTTGTTCATATTTATAGGTGACCTTTGGACTGAAGGTCAAAGGTCACAATGGATGTGTGGGCAGAGAGGTGGGGCAGGGTCAAAGGTCAGCTGTGTGGGCTCTGTACAGTATTTTTCTATTAAGAAATGTATTATTAAATTACAGTGCGAGGGGGGCGGGGCTGAATTATTTTCTTCGGTCTTCCCGTCAAATATCAGATGAAAATATTTTATTGTACTGTCGATCTTTTGATATGAATAAACGGAAGATTACCATGACAACAGCGTCACGTGTGTTTATTACCATGACAACAGTGAAACAATAAAACACAGACCACAATCAGGTCTCTCATTGGATCCTTTAATTCATCTGCTGCGCTCTCATTGGACCGCCTCAGCTCAGTCACCAGTGCAGACGTCCTGCAGGAACAACATGAACTCTGTCTTCCTCAAATGTCCCAGCGGTCTTTAAATGTCTCATTCCTGCATCCAGAGACACCAGTCTGCTGCCACACCAGGACCTGGTCTACAATTTGCTGGTTTTACTGAAAACATGCAGGACCTGGTCTACAATGGGAGGACAGAGAGAGCGGCTCAGTGTTTTGAAACAGTGAGTACCCAGAGACCGGACTCGGGGGTTTTGAAGGCACTCTGTGAAGCTTGAGTTGAGTCGTCTTAGAAAAAGGCCAAACGGAGACTTTCAGGATCTCTTTGGGGGTTTTGTGTGAAGTCTGTTTCAGAAGTGTCCTGTTCAAAGACGGGCTTCTTGAACGCCTCTCAAGACGCCCCTCAGCTCCTGCTGGTTTTCAGAACGTGGTGGACTTGAGGTCCTGGCTGAAGACGTTTCCAAAGTTCAGGTCTCTGGACATCAGCTCCTCCTCCACGTTCTCCAGTGCCCACTTGTGTTCCACGATCTCCAGCGCCTCCCACTCGCTCTGAAACACAAACATAGAGAGGGTAAGCTCCGCCTCTTTTTGACCGCCATGAGACCATACTGCAGCTGCTGGCGGTCCAATGATAATGGTCACATGGCGTGCCGGGGTTGGACAGGACGTCCTCTCAAACATCCCTTCTTCAGACTGTGTTGTCTGATGATGTCATCGTTTCTTCACCTCATATTAAAGACTAAAACCCCCCCCCCACACTTGTGACCACATTGAAAATCTTTTTTCTCACCTTGAAAGCTTTGTTGGGGTCAGGGGGCATCGCCATGGCAGCACCAGTCATCTGGTCCTGCATGACCCGTGATTGGTCAGCAGCTACAGGTTTAAAGAGAAAAAGAAGAAGAAGCATCTTGTTTTTATTCACTCAGAATATGAACAAACACGTCTGATGGTCCAAACTTTATGGTCACGAGAGAACGTTTGGTTTAACCAGGAGAGAAAAACGTTTTAAAGAGTCCTGATCCACAGAAGAACATAGATACACGTTTTGGACACCCCTTGGTTTGCCAGATATGAGAGCAGTTATCAGGTCAACCCAACAGGTGTTGCAGCGATGGAAGCTAGAAGTGATTGTACCCGATCTAAAAAGCCTCTGCATGTTTCTAATAAGCTCCACGAGCAGAAACGTGCTCAAACTAGGATCAATATTGGAGATGCTTTTGAAAAATGGAGAGAGGTTAGAACACAGAAAGGTTTACAGACCCATGCAGAGCTGGATAAACACTGAAGCTTCAGAGTCCACCACATGGTGACCTGTGTGAGCATCGACTCTGGGGGGGGGTGGGAGACTGCTCTCTACAATGTTTAGAATTTAGACTGCAGTACCCATTTTAAACATTAGGGGTCAGAGTTAGAGACTGCTCCTTTAAACATTTAGTCTCTTTGTGAACTAAGATGTTCTCCAACTCGTGAAACAGAAATTACTTAATTTTGTTGTTCAGACTGATTCAGATTCAAACTGAGGATAAAGCAGAGCCGTTTAGTTTCTGGGTCCACTCACTGACCGTTGTCCTGTCCCAGGATCAGGCTGTACATGCTCCTCAGTCCAAACACGTTCAGGAAGTACCAGGAGGCAGAACTCACCCTGAAACAACAACACACACTGATTAATACTCTTTCCACACACACACTAAACTACACGCACGCACACACACACACGCTCTACATCAGGGTGCTTAACCGGTCAATCTGGAGATCTTATATAGAACTAATCTGAGTATTATTTAACTTCTTTTCCTGCTCGTCTCTCTGCGGTCACGACTGTAGGCATCGCCGGGCACGCTGACACACCAACATACAAAAAATTGCTGCACGCACGCGTTTGTTGGGCCTCAGCCATGTGTGCTGGAAAAAGGACTCAGGCCTGTATCACAGTTCTCAAGTCTGACTAGAGTTATTTTGGAGGGAACTATACAAAGGAGTCTTAGCCTAACACCCCCCAACAGCAACTAACAAATAGGTGTGAAAAGTGGGGGGTGGGGGGTGTCTGAATTCCCTATCCTCATTGGAGGAGGCCTGAGGTTAACCCACAGGCAGCTCCAGTCTTTAAAAGCAATCGCATTGCTCTTTCTCTTCAAGTGTTGTCTGCTGACACCAGAGGACACACTCTCCAACAAGATGGACTCCAGCGTTCGAGACAAAGCCTTTCCTCCTCTTGACTTACACAAGTTAAACTTCAGAGCTGAGGTTGTTCAGTCTAATTAGCTCTTCACATGCTGAATTCAAGCATCAGAGGATTCAGCTGACTACTTCCACGCCGTATTTTTAGGAGTTTTGGGCGCAATCAGATGCTATCAGGTCGAGCAAAAAGAGAGTTTCTTTCTTTTGATTTTTCGTAAGACGTCATTCAACAAAACTGGAAAGGAGCACTGAAGGAAGCCCACTGATCCATGAATCCACAAGGACACATAAAGGACTCTGCAACCAGAATCCCCCTACCCTCCTCCTATATATCTCTCTCTCATTTGCTTAAATTAGTTTATAATAGTTATTTGTTTGATGAAGTTCAATGATTTTGGATTGATGTTGCTTTGTTTAAATAAATTCTGTTATAATTTAAGAGAGCAGTTGTTTGTGATTACTGGTGTATTTGCATTGTGATATAATAAATAAATATAATTATTAATAATATAACCCAAGTTGACTTGATACAACCCCAACAAATGGTGCCCCGTGTGAGGCCTTCAATAAAACCAGCTTTATTGCACAGTAATCCAAACTTTGAATCCTAAAATAGATTTATTGTGAGGAAAAATTGTCTTCTTTTGAAGATTTACTTTTCTTGCTTGTTGTTTATTCAAAACAGACCTGTGGCTTTGTTTATGTCGTATGTTCAACATAATGATGCAGCCAGGGCGACTCTCTGAATGAACTAGGTTGTAAATATAATAATTAAATATAATTATTAATAATATAACCATAGTTGACTAGATGAAACCCCAACATGTTAAAGTCGATCTGTACTGATCGGGAACACGCGTGCTGCGGTCTAACGGTCAATTCGACTCGTTCACAGTTTGTGAACGCAGATTAAACATGTTTGTTTTTATAATCGGACACTTCAAGGACAGCAGAGACGCGCGGAGCCTGTGGCGTGGTATCCAGACCATCACGGACTACAAACCCAAGCCACAGACCTGTGACAGCAACACCTCTCTGCTGAACGACCTCAACAGCTTCTTTGCCAGGTTTGAAGCACACAACAGCACGCCCCCACAGAAGACCACCCCCCCTCCCCACGACCAGACCCTGTGCCTGACTGCAGCCAGCATGAAGAGAACCTTCTCCAAGATCAACACCCGCAAGGCTGCAGATCCAGACAACATTCCTAGCTGTGTGCTGAAGGACTGTGCAGAGGAGCTCAAAGATGTCTTCACGGACATTTTCAACGCTTCTCTGAGTCAGGCTGTTGTTCTGTCGTGCTTCAAAGCCCTCACCATCCACTTTCAATGACTATCGACCCGTTGCACTGACCCCCATCGCCATGAAGTGCTTTGAAAGGTTAGTCATGGCCCACATCAAATCCACCCTCCCCGCCACCCTGGACCCCTACCAGTTTGCATACCGAGGTAACAGATCCACCGAGGATGCCATCTGTTCTGCTCTTCACCCAGCCCTCACCCACCTGGACACCAAAAACTCATGCGTCAGAATGCTGTTCATAGACTTCAGTTCAGCATTCAACACCATGATCCCTCAGCAGCTGATCGGCAAACTGGACCAGCTGGGGCTCAGCACTTCCCTGTGCAACTGGCTGCTGGACTTCCTCAGCGAGAGGCCTCAGACAGTGCGGGTCAACGGCAGCACATCAAAAACCATCATCATGAGCACTGGGGCCCCCCAGGGTTGTGTGCTCAGCCCCCTGCTCTTCACGCTGCTGACCCACGACTGCGCTCCATCCTTCAGCAGCAACCACATTGTGAAGTTCGCGGACGACACAACAGTGGTTGGTTTCATCTCCAACAACCTTCTCTCCGTCATGAGGTCATCATGCTGCGTTGAACTCAAGCGGTGGTTAACCGTTGAGGAGAGCAGCTTCTCATAAATAAAAACATCCTGTTGTTGTTTACAGACGGTGTGTGTGATGTGTTCAAGGGGAAGTAACGGGGAGGTCACAGCGCTCGTTCACAGCGTATGGCGCTCGCTCATGGCGCTCGCTCATGGCACTCGCTCTCACCATGAGGCGTCCAGAGACAGCAGGTCGATCCCTCGCTGCAACATCGGCTTGAACCTCAGCGTCAGAGGGAATGGCACCTTAGCTGCAACAAACAACTACAAAGATTAACAAACAACAACAACAAAGATTAACAAACAACAACAACAAAGATCAAGATCTTTATTTTACTCACTGATGACGAATCCAGAGAACGCCCAGTTGATCCATCCACCAATTACAATCATCGGAAGAACGTTGGTCAAGTTTCCCTTCATCATATCCGTCAACATGCTCGTATCTACACACACACACACACAATTCAATTTATTTTGTATAGCGTCAACTCATAAGTGTTATCTCAAGACACTTTACAAAAAGCAGGTAAAAGACCTTACTTATTGCCACACACACACACACACACACACACACACACACAGACACACACACACACACACACACACACACTTCATCTCGAGGCTCCTCCTCTAACATTTCATTTTAAAACGATCTTACTTATTCAGACAAACGGTGATTCTTCACTAACACGCCGTGATACGGACAGAATGTAAGAATGAGGAAATGAAACGGCGTTTCTGGCTCTGAAAGAGGGAGGAGTCCGAGAGAAACTCAGGGTTCACTGAAGAAAACCTGCTCCTGACCTGAGGTTCACAGACTCAGTTACCATAGTAACAGACTCAGAGTTACCTCCCTCTCTGTCGGGTTTCAGTGACCCCCCCCCCCTCTCTCGGTGTCAGTGACCCCCCCCTCTCGGGTTTCAGTGAGCCCCCCCCCTCTCTCTGGTTTCAATGATCCCCCTCTCTCTGGTTTCAGTGACCCCCCCCTCTCGGGTTTCAGTGAGCCCCCCCCTCGGGTTTCAGTGAGCCCCCCTCTCGGGTTTTCAGTGAGCCCCCCCCCTCTCTCGGGTTTCAGTGACCCCCCCTCTGGTTTCAGTGACCCCCAACAGTTTGGCTCAGTTCAGGGTTCACAGACTGAAACGGGTCCTGGACTCGGGTCTCACCGGTCATGGGGTTCTTGGGGATGACCTTCCTTTTGACATTCTTGAAAAAACCTGTCTCGACGTTGTTGAAGTAATGTTTCCTCATCGCAAAAGACTGAAAAGAGAGAAAACACAACGTCACAATCCACGTTTACACACACACACACAGTGTGTCTGTGTGTCTCTGTTTGTGTGTACCTGTCGAGGGATGTACTTTCCGTTCTCTCTGAGGATGCGACTGCGCAGCAGCACCTGGCTAAACACGAAGAAAACTTCAGATCAGTGATGTCACAGTCGTCTCTTACAGACAGACAGACAGACAGACAGACAGACAGACAGACAGACAGACAGACAGACAGACAGACAGACAGACAGACAGACAGACAGACAGACAGACACACACACACACACACACACACACACACACACACACACACACACCACACACACACACACACACACACACACACACACACACACACACACACACACACACACACACACACACACACACACACACCTGTCAGAAACCTGCTCCAGGTCGACCTTCTTGTCGCTCTGCAGCAGCTGAGTGACGTAGTGACGGATGATCCCAACGAAGAAGGTGATGAAGACGATGGGCAGGACGACCCACAACCGGATGGATGAGTCCAGCAGGAGCTCAGGACCCGCCATCGCTCTCTGATCAAACAGCAGAGTGACGTGGAGACGCTCTGAATGATCAGCACGTCGTGTCAACACTTTGATTCAAGTCATTTCAGGATTTCAGCTCTTTAACACTTTCTTTAACACAGAATCTTTCAGAGCGCTCTAATAAAGTTTATACTTTTAAAACTCCAGTTATCCCAAAGTTTCACAAATGTTAACGTTACTGTGTGGGCCAGAGCAGAGCGATTAAATGCACAGAAACAAATTCATCTTCTTTAAAAGCTTTAAAACATTCTGAATGATGAATTATTAATGAATCCAGCTGCAGGCTGGTTACTGTTTGACTTACAGGAAGTGAATCATTCTCTGCGTTAGACTGAAAGAAATCAGTGACACATTAACACAATGAGCTGCCCTGTGTTACGGTGTAAACAGTGACCGTGCTAAGTGGTGACTCTCAGCCGAATGTGTGTGTGGTTGTCGTAGTTATAATAAAAAGCTTTATTCATAAGAGCAGTGGAACGTCACTTCCGGCTCGTCAGAGTGACCACGCCCCCCTTTGGGTGAAGACACGCCCTGAGAATGTTCCGGTGGTAGTTTAGTAAACTCTGGTAGACGTCAGATTAAACACGATAAAAAGCTTTTTGTTCTTCAAACTATTTTAAAAACACAATTGAGTGTCAGGTTTCATTTCCAAAGCACAGAGCAGAGTAAAAGAAGAGGTGTGTGTGTTTGGATTAAAGTGTGTTCACAGATTCTTCATTCACTAACGTCTGAACAACGTTTCAGCTGTCACATCAACATGTTGGTGAACATGGCTCTAAACGAAGGAACACTACACCAAATCCTCCAGATAAAAACTTCACGTCGTCTCGCCCCTCTCATCATTATTTACACAACAGGTTTAATATCATCCAGGTGACTTTACCTGTGAAAATCAGCTGATAACTGTTTATGTAAACGTCTGTAACCTCTCCATTACAGCTCTGAACACTGTTAGAAACTATTACAAATAAAGATTCTTTTAAAATAAAGATCCCTCTCAGGTAACACGGTTAATAATGACTCATCAGGTGTTTGAAGTCAGTTTGCTCTGATGACTCGGGTTAGATGGAGAGAGATTGAACACACACTCAGGACATGGTTCATTCTATATCTATGATGCGATCTCTGTTCAGAAATCATATTTTTAATGTTTACATCACTGCTCATCAGGTTTAGACTCATACAGTTTTAAAGTACAGTTTTCATATTTAAGACTTTAAATCGGTAATACCTCCATTCATTCAGATGGAATGATGTCACCCAGAAAGGGGCGGGGCCGGCATCGTTTGGGCAAAGTACCCGGATGTGTTGCTCTCATGAATATGCATGAATGTCACTGATAACAGTGTAACACAAATAAAAAAGAATATGTTCAATAACATCAGTAAAATAGCAATAGAGTAAATATAACTTTAATAATTAATGATTTACATCAGAAAAGTCAAAGTAAAGTCTTCACATCTTTAAATATATAAAATAACGTTTTTAAAAAGCTGCTGCTGGAACTGAGATAACCACAGGTCACCTGATAACACGGTCACAGATTACACTGTAACACCGGAGCAGGTCACCTGATAACACGGTCACAGATTACACTGTAACACGGAGGAGCAGCTAACCGCTAACTAACACACAATCACCGGACAGATTCACAGACCGGGTCGGTACTTTTAACAGACTGTGATCCAGCTACATGACCCTCCACCCACACATGAAGACCACATGAAAGACCCACATGAAGACCCACATGAAGACCCACAGCTAATGTTAGCATGACGTTAGCATCAGCCACCTGTTTCAGTGGTTAGCTAAGCAGGCTAACCGGCTAAGTTCTTTATACAAAGTGTAAACACTGTTTCTCGCTGCCAACCGCCATGTTACAGATACTCAGAGAAATATGAGTCACTCAGGCTGTTTTCAACCACATGCTTCACTTTAACTCACCACATTTATAAACTTCGTAGCGACAAAACACGTTCAGGTTCTCCTTCTTCCTCTTCCGCTTCAACACGCTTGTACTCAGCTTCCAGGTGCATCAGCGCCCCCTGCTGCGGAGAGGAGGCTCAGCGCCCCTGCTGCTGCTGCGGAGGAGGCTCAGCGCCCCCTGCTGCTGCTGCGGAGGAGGAGGAGGAGGAGGAGGCTCAGCGCCCCTGCTGCTGCTGCTGCTGCTGCTGCGGAGGAGGAGGAGGAGGAGGAGGAGGAGGCTCAGCGCCCCCTGCTGCTGCTGCTGCTGCTGCTGCGGAGGAGGAGGAGGAGGAGGAGGAGGAGGAGGCTCAGCGCCCCTGCTGCTGCTGCTGCTGCGGAGGAGGAGGAGGAGGAGGAGGAGGAGAGGAGGGGCTCAGCCCCCCTGCTGCTGCGGAGGAGGAGGAGGAGGAGGAGGAGGCTCAGCGCCCTGCTGCTGCTGCTGCGGAGGAGGAGGAGGAGGAGGAGGAGGAGGCTCAGCGCCCCCTGCTGTGGAGGAGATGTTGTTGTTGTTGTGATATCTCTAAATACTTCAGTGTTTTTGTGTTTCATGATGTTTTTTACACATTAAGTGAAAATTTTTTTGTTAATTCAGTGAAATGTTTTTGACCAGTTGACCTTCAGGGCCACCGTAGAAAGGTCAATATGTTGAAGCCAGGCGGCTGTGTGTGTGTGTGTGTGTGTGTGTGTGTGTGTGTGTGTGGTTGTGTGCGTGGTGCGTGTGCGTGTCGTGTGTGCGTGCGTGCGTGCGTGCGTGCGTGTGGGTGTGTGTGTGTGTGTGTATGTGTGTGCGTGTGCGTGTGCGTGTGCACGTGTCTGTGTGGGTGTGTGCGTGCATGTGTGTATGTGTGTGTGTGTGTTGCGTGTGCGTGTGCACGTGTCTGTGTGGTGTGTGCGTGCGTGCATGTGCGTGTGTGTGTGTGTGTGTGTGT